AGTCGGGAGTCAGGCCAAGTCAGGTACCAGGAAGTCAGAGTCAGAGACAGGCCAGAGGGCAAGCTGAGAGTTAGACAGCAGGAGGCATGCAGGGCCAGGTTACCAGGAGATCAGGGCTGGGTACCAAGTTACAGACAGTAATCAAATAGCAAAGTTGAGGACAAACCAGGGTCAGAAGCTGGAGTCTAGGGACTATCATAAGCAGGTCTGGAGCAGAGGCAGTCTGTAGTGTGGTTCAGAGAAGCCTGCATGGCTTCCTGGTTTATATCCTGCTATTGGCCAATCAGGGGGTTGTGAGGGGCCACCACTCCAGTCCTGCTGGGTGGTACTTCTTGCCGAGCCCAGCCCCACAGGGTCCTCCCATGGGAGCCCAGCCTAAGCCTGCCGTGGCAAATCGGAGGCATTAGTGGCCCAGAACCCCCATGGCCCCAGGTTCTAGACCTAGAGATTCTAACATCATCTCACCCCTGGCATGCTTCAGGCCCCCCTTTGGGGAGGCGCTGGCCCAGGCTTGTCTGGTGGAATTCCATTCGGTGTGGACGTGGGAGGCAGACTCCCACGTGCATTCTTCAAGGTCGTAGCCTTCCCAGTCCACCAGGTAGTACAGACGGCCGTATGCCCATCGGGAGTTGAGGATGGCATGAATTTCATATTCCTCATGACACTGGCTTTCGACAGGAGGAGGGGGCAGTGTGGTTCAGTCAGGGAAGGGGTTCCCAGTCTAGGGCTTCAGAAGGGAGACAAGGAAAACTGGGTATATTTTGTGGGACTGGGGAAGCTAGTGTTTGAAGATGACTGGGTTAATCTGCTGGCATATTGGGAAAGGTCCCAGGTACGGTGGTCCAATTTGCAGGAAGGTCACTGGTCTGGAGGTGTTTGGCAAGCCAGGCCTACCGTAAATACTGGAGCTTCTTGTTGCCAATGGTCTGCATGTCTTTTGTGGGCCTTCTTCACCTCTTCTAGGTGGTTCTTGAGCTCTTCCTGAATGAGATGGATCCATTGAACCAGCTGGTGGTGGCAGGGTTCAGGGACGCTGCTGGTAACATTGGCAGAAAGGGGGTTGAACTCGTAATTAGTGAAGAAAGGGCTCTGACCCATGGAGGCATGGTCAGTGTTGTAAGAAAACTCTGCATATGGCAGGAGTGTGGACCAGTTATCTTGATGATAATTTACAAAACACCTCAAGTACTGCTTCAGTGCTTGGTTCACCCATTCAGTTTGTCCAGCTGTTTGGGGGTGGTATGCAGTGGAGATGGATATGCAGATGTCCAGTAGCCTAAACACTTTGCTCCAGAAGTGAGAGGTAAACTGTGGGCCTTGATAGGAAACTGTGTGATGTGGGAGTCTCTGGAGCCGGACTATGTTGTGAAAGAGGAGTGGGTGGTTGCCTCAGCAGAGGGCAGCTGGTTGTATGAAATGAAGTGCGCCATTTTGGTCAGGCACTCCACAACCGTTAAGACTATGGTGTGGCCCACAGACGTTGGGAGTTCCACAATAAAGTCTAGGCTGGTGGCAGACAAAGCCCAGCTGGAGTCTCCAAGGGTACTAAGGTGCCAAGGGGTCTCGTTTGGGGTGTCTTGGTATGTGCATAGCACTCACAGGAGTCCTCATATGCTTGGATCTCAGCCCACATGTGGAGCCACCAGACAAAAAATGGGCCACCACACGGGAAGTCTTTTCAGCAGCCAAAGTGCCCTGCCAATAGAGGGTCATAGCACAGCTGTAACGTCTCCAGCCTTGGGGGCATATATATATGCTTGCCAGAGTATGTTGTACCCTCCCACACTGTAGTGTGCATCTTAGCCCCCAATGGCGTAGACTGTGTCCCTTAGGCAAGCGGGTCTTCTTTCGAGAAGGATTGAATAGAGGAGAGCAGATCTTGCCAAACTGTGGCATTAGCAAAGTTACTGGGCTTGAGGAAGTAGTGGGGCGCAGAAGTTGGTTCTTTGCCAGCAGCACCAGGACACAACAGCGGCAGTGTCGGTGAGCTGAGTTGAGCTGGGCGGGCTGCACGCTTGCCATGGTATGGCGAGACAAAAGCAGGAGAGCAGAGTTGCAGCAGAAGCAGTGGTTTGATGAAGGCGGTTTGCAGTCCTACTGCACCATCCGCTGAAAGCAGTACGGCGTCCACATGGAAAAAAGGCGCGAAACGATTGTCTGCCGTTGCTTTCACAGAGGGAGGGGCGACTGCCCTCCTTCCATAGAAGTTTTTAAGGCCCAGCTTGACAAAGCCCTGGCTGGGATGATTTAGTAGGGGATCGGTCCTGCTTTGAGCAGGGGGTTGGACTAGATGACCTCCTGAGGTCCCTTCCAGCCCGGATATTCAGTGATTCTACGATTCTATGACTGACAACATGTACCCAAAACCACCCACGAGAATGTTTTTGCCCCAACAGGCATTGGGAGCTTAACCCAGAATTCCAATGGGCAGCGGAGACTGCGGGAACTGTGGGATAACTACTCACAGTGCAACGCTCCAAAAGTCGACGCTAGCCTCGGTACTGTGGACACACTCCACCGACTTAATGCACTTTGTGGGGACACACACAATTGACTGTATAAAATTGCTTCCTAAAAAATCGACTTCTATAAATTCAACCTAATTCCATAGTTGTAGACATACCCTTAGATGCTTCTCACTACTGGCTGGCTGGTTGCCCTTCAGCCAGGCTCTCCCCTTTGATCAGCGCTTCAGTCGCTTGGTGGTGGTGGTGGTGTCTGTAGATGTAGGTGCAAGAGAGAAAAGAAGAGACTGGCAAATGTCTCTCCCTTTTATCTTGTTCTTTCTTCCCTCTTGGCTTTGCGACCCCCACTTCAGAGTCAGGAGAGCATTACAGTCATCGCAGTCCCAAACTGACCAAGGGAAGGGGGGAAGGGAGGTGACTCACTCGAGAGTCCAACAGATCCTTTGCTGCTGCCTAGGCCAACAGCCTTTGTTCCTGTGAGGCTGGGCTGGGTTTGTCCCATACCTGCCCTGATGAGATGTGAACTGCCTCTCTGCTCTTGGAGAGTTTTGCCTGGGCTTGTTTTAAGTCATGAGGACACATTTTCAGCCTCATAACTATATACGTGAAATTAAAACCTCTAACATCACTATAACAACAATGCTCAGTGCATCATGAGCCTTCTACAGACACCTGACGTGACAAAATTTGCATTGGATACCACACAATCATAGTCCCACCTGACAGGGGTAAGAGTTGTCATAGGGAGGTTTATTTGCTCAAGCTGGCCCCTCCTGTAGTTGCCCAGAACCTTCCCCCCACGGCCCCTGCTGTCCAGGAAGGCGTGACAATCTCCTCTTACTATAAGTACCCAATGAAAGTGCATTGCTGACAAGATCAATCATGAGCATTTCCTGCAGCAACGCTCAGGTTGTCACCACGTGAACCTGTGACCTCAGCAGCAGCCTAAGATCCCTGAGCTCTTGGAACCCAACAATCTCGTCGCCAGCTTTCCCTGATTTCATAACCAATTGTATAAGAAGCCGAGCTGGGCTTTAGTTACCTCTCACCCCCGTCGGGCAGCACAGAACAGAGCCTGTGCAGAGCAGTGGCCAGGTGGCGGGATGCTACGCTACAGTGCAGGATGAACTCCCTTAGGCGCAGAGCAGCGCACATGGCAGCTATGTCCACACTAGACATGTGAGTCAGTGTGTGGGGCGCGTCCTCTCCAGGAGCACTTCCCCTCACCTAACGGGTCTCTCAGCTCAGCCGGTCTCATCTCCACTGGCAGCTCCGGGAGCCCAGCTGCCCCACAGGATCCGGGTGGGCTGCCCACCCCTTCCACTCCCCGTTCCCCGCTGGGAGCCAGGGGAAGCCGCCCAGGGCTTCTCGCCCCTAGGGAGCGGGTCCAGCTGCTCTGGCTTCTTGGCCCCCTGCCCGCTCCCCACCAGGAGCCGGGAAGCCTTGTCAATTTCATAGCTCCCAGCCAGGAGCAAGGTCCCACTGCCCAGCACTACACAGGCCCTGCGTCGCCCTTACTACACCGACATAAGCCCTACGCCTCTCGTGGAGGTGGAGTTATGTCATCGGTGTAGCAGGCACTTACATCAGCGGGAGGAAGGCTGTAGTGGGTACACGGACGTAATTAGGTCGACATAAGCTGCCGTATGTCACCTACCTGTGCAGTACAGACCAGCCCAGAGCTCTCTGCAGAGCAGCACGCACCAAGTTCCTTGCAGGTCACAGCATCTACCAGGGATCTGACCATTTTCAATTTGTTTTATGTCAGTCTAGTTACTCAAAGCATTAACCCTTTCAATGCTGAAGACCTAGGCCACATTTCCCAGCTTATAAAAGACTTTCCTTATGAAAAAGGAAAAAATACAGATGCCAAGGTTCCTCCTCAAAAACTGCACAAATCAAGGAAGTTTGCACGCAGTTTCCCATTGTGTGTGGGGCAGGCCTGGATGCACTCCTGGACCCAAGCTCAATGTAGGTGACAGTTTGGCCCTAGCTATGGATAGCTTCCTAATTTAGCATGTGCTTGACTGGGAAGTCCCAGGAGTTAAGAAGCTGAAGAACTCTGGCACCAACATCCATCCTGCTGGCTGCTAAATAACAATGCTCAATATTGCTGCAATACAAAGAATTTTCAGAGGAGTTTTTTGAATGCTTTGCCATCTTTTCAGAACTTCTGGTCAGCTCTCCCCAGTGCAGCTCGTCTTCAGGTTCTTAGTGATCCTTCCCAGACGGCAGGCTGGGTGGAGAATGCACTGCTGGCCTGAAGGCAGCAGCGTCCCCATTTGAAATGACAGGGGTTCCGGGCTGCTCAAAGATAAGTTCTTGCTTGTTGAAAGTCAGATATGCAACCCTTCCAAAGGGGGGTGCAGCTCCTCTCATTCATACACTGCAGCGTCAGTTTAGTGGGTTTGCCTGTAGAAACACAGGCTTGGGGGGGGGGGGGGTTGTTTAACTGATCTGCTCTTTGTAATTGGATACAGTAATGGCTTCATACTAACCCTAATGCCAAAACACAATGCAGACAAACTCAGTGAGACCAATGTCAAAGTGGGTTTATTTCCAAGTTAATAACATACTAAGTGTCTCTTTAAACAGCAGCGCTGACATTTATATAAATCTCTGCACAAATGGCCTGCAGTATCCCGTAACATGCCGTCTGGACCATCACTGCAGGTTACTGGAGGGTTTCTTTATTCGGTGGGAATAAAGTGGGAAGCAGCAAAAAACAGGTTCAACCCCTCTTGACAGTCAAAGCAACATAAAACATAAAGGTGCCTTTCACCAGGGAGGGAGAAGATGTTACATTTCACCGCATGCGACGCTGCCTTCTGTGGGCTCCCGGCCAAGAAACAGCTGCCACTGTCCAGAGCTTGTTGCATTCGTCCTGCTGACAGAAAACAGGACTGCTGGATTTCATACCCAGCTGGACTGTTTTCAAGGAGCCCATGGCAGGGTCTAGCTGCCCTCGTCCGCACTAGGCTCATGCAGGCCTCGCTGAGTTGTCAGATAGCGTTTCCCGCCTCCTGTTTCAGTCGCTTGCAGAGATGCTCACTGATGGCGGCCAGGGGATTGGCTTTGTACACGGGGTTTGCGATGACCTTGTGAAACCTGGCCACCTCCTCCTGTCTGAGAGAAGCAAGAGAACTCTGCATGAGACTGCGCAGAGATTACACTGACCAGCCAGAGCAGGGCCGGCTGGGCCGCACCCACCTCCGCACCGGCACCGGGCCGACCAGACAGAATGGGGCCGACGGGGCAGTAAGCCTTGTAAAGTGACTCCAGATACCACAGCATTGGCATCCGTAAGTGCTTGCAATGAGCACAATTGTAAGTGTAGCTCGAAAGGGTGTGGGGGCCAGTGATACTTTTCCTTCTCTATAGCGAGAACTGGGGGAGTCTCCTGAAGATTTTGGAATCATTTAAAATGTTCCACAAAAGCAAGAACTGTGACAGGTTCCTCTTCTAAAACTATTGTCAGGAAGCGTCAGCCACGGCAACAGCCTGCCGGCATGTGGGACGTGTGCAGCTGAGAGCAGCTAACATGGTCCGTGCTCCTGCCAAGGATACAGCCTGGCTGCTCTGTGCAGATGGGCACTAAATGCTCGCTGCATCTGCGGGCTCCTTGCAAGCCACTGATGGGATTTCTTAATTTAGTTGCTCGTTAGCCTCCAGAGTGGACAGTTAAAGTGGTCAGCACTGGCCCCAGGCTCTGCCAGCTTCTCTCTGGTGAGAAATGGGCCCTGAACCAGACACATCGGGAGAGCAAGCACGTGGCACTTCCTTTTCCCCCAAGGCCTGGCCACGCAACCCCCCAGCAGCTGCTAGTGCCAGGGCACGACAGTCGGCCAGCGGGAATGGGAGGACACCTGGCCAGTCGGCACTCAGGCTCCAGGGAAGGCGTGCAGAAGGCTCAGCCCACGGCCAGCAGTCCCTCAGGCACACATGGGCTGATTCCATCAGGAGACACAAAAGGGGCCAAGGAGAGGCCGGTGGCCCCCAGTCCCCACTCTCCCCAGGTCCCTCACACTCCGTTCTGAGGGCTCCCCTGGGGCATCAGCCTCATGCCGGCCCTCTGCACGGAGCCCCCCCAGCATAGTGCTCCAATGCCCTGCATTGGGGCTGTCCTTCACACCAGGGCAAGGTGGGTGCCGATGCTGCCAAACCCGACTGCCCTGGGGACATGTCGGCGTGACACGAGGGGCCCGTTCTCCCCAGGACACACCGCAGGGCAAACCGGGGCAGGCGAGGAACGCCCACCCACCACCCAGAATGCAACAGCAGGTTTGGCTTAAATGTGTGACGCTGCACTAGGAGACCTGGAAAACCACGCCCTGGATAGACCCGACTCCTAGCAGGGCAGCCGCACAGCCAGGGGGACCAACCACACGGCCACGGGGAGCGGCCGCAGGGAGCAGCCGCACGGCCACGGGGAGTGGCAGGGCGTCCCCGGGGAGCGGCCGCACGGAGCAGCCACATGGCCACGGGGAGCGGCAGGGCGTCCCCAGGGAACAGGTGCATGAGCATCGCCAAAGGCAGCTCTTTCATGCATTCACTCTGTTTGCTGGGTACTTACAGGAGCCTGCGCTTCTGGGCCGGCTTCATTTGGTTGAAGTCGGTGGGCTCTGCCTTCGCTCTCACGTGGCTGCAGAGAGGAACAGACGGGAACAGTTTTGTAGAAGGAAAACATTTTGCCAAAAGCACCTGGCACTGGCCGCTGTCAGCGGACGGGATACCGGGCTAGACAGACTGTTGCTCTGACCCAGTCTGGCTGTTCTTACGTGCCGGACGGCGAAGGGAGGCAAAGGGCCCAGCGATTCTGAAGCTGTCCGCACTAGGGTGGCAGAGGCAAATCTCTGCCATGCATGTGCCCAGCCACGAGCCCCACGCAGCGCGGTCTGTCGGCTATGTCCTGCGGCCACAGGGAGAGGGGAATCCCGGGTCACAGGATGGGAGGCGGAGGCAGTTCCTCACCACCACCGCTCCAGTTCTGTACTCTGCAGCAGGCTCACTTCCTCTTTGTAACTAAACTAGGGGTCAAACTGCAGCAACCCCCTCCCTTGGGTGCTCTGGAGTGAACTACCCAGTTACCTGCCCCGCCTGCTCACGTCTCCCACAGCCATTGTACCGAGCTCCCGGCTGAATCAGAGGGCTCCCCAGTGAGGCAGGCAGGTCAGTGGCATATGCGCTGGGCAACCCCAAACGATGTGGGATGTTCGTGCAGGGGAGGGTTGGCCGGCCCAGCTGCCCTGCATAGCTATCCAGGGAGCATGTCCCCCCCTCGCTGTGTCCGCTCCTGCACTGCCCACTTCGGTTCAGAGCCAGCCCAGCTTCTCGGCGTTAAAGCAACGGGAGGCTCTCCCCACACGTACAGCGGGGCACAAACGCAACCACAGCTTCAGCTAGGAGAGCCGGCCGTCAGACGGGAAGGGGAAGCACTGGAACAGGCAGTCCTGTGTCTGTTTAAAAGCTCTGCCTAGTTACTGCCGATGGCCGACTACAGGGGTAGAACGATGGCACAAGGTGCTACCGCCTGGCACCAGGCCATGAGAACCAACAAGAGAGGACACACTTTTAGACTCGGTTTCAGTAAGTAGCGAGGACAACAGAGAGCTGGGCATAGACCATCAGAGGGGGAAGGCTCTGGAGCAGCCTCCCACTACGAGTTTTGGGGGCAAACAACGTAATTCGTTTTTAAGAGCACTGGACAATTTTTTCGTGCAACTGCCTGACGGGGCTGCTTGTGATAGTGGGGGCAGGGCTCTGCAGCCTGGGGCTCACTTCCGGGTCATATCTTATGTTCCTAACGCTCATGCTTCAGGGTTTCAGCCGGCCACTGACAGGGGTCAGGAAGGGCTCTTCCTCCCAGTGTATTCTGGGCGGTTTTTTATCTCCTTCCTCTGAAGCGTCAGGGATGGCCATGGCTGGAGATAGGTCACTGGCCTGGACTGGCCAGAGCTCCAAGTTGGCGCCAAGCATTCTCTGTCCCAGTGCTTGGATGGCTGGTTCTCGCTCCCATACTCAGGGTCTAGCTTATCGCCATAGGTGGGGATGGGACTGAATTTTCTCTCAGGTCAGATTGGCAGGGACCCTCCAGGTTTCACCATCCTCTGTAGCGTGTGGGTGTGGGTCACTTGTCAGGTCTCCTTGCGGTTGCTGGGTGGTGCTGCTGGCCAGTGCCAGGCAGCTCGTCAGACTGGGTGACCTGGGGGCCCCTTCTGGCCATACACGCCATGTTCCTGAGATGTGAGCAGAGAGGCCCAGTGAAGCCTGAGAACCATCCAGGGTTTGTGCTCATGGTGTCTGACACACAAAGCCAGGACACACCTATGCGGACCGTAGGCGACTTTAGGGGCCTGTGCAGAGAACTGCAGGTGGCAGCTCCCTGGTGCCATGTGGGAGAGAAGAAAGGCCAGAAGCCAGCCCTGGTGACCAGCTGAAGCATGTGCAGAAGGGGGAGGAGTGCATGTCTGGAATTCATGGAGCATTGGGATGGGTCCTCACTCCCTGGAGAGAGTCTAATCCAGCCAGGTGGAATGGCAGCCTCCTGCTGTCAGAGTTAAAGGGAGCCTTCAGCAGGGAGCAGTGCAGAGAGAGACTCAAGGGGGAACCAATCAAATCCCAATTCAAATACTGGGCATGTACGTCCAGTGGGTAACATTGGCTCCCTGACTGGGGCAAAAGAGAAGGAATGGGTGGAGGAGCGTACTCTTGCCTGTATACAGATGCTGGGAGCACAAGGAACACGCAAGATTTGCAGCTGGTTAACCAAGGGTCTGACCTCCTGGAGAGAGCGTCTGGGTCCTGCCCACCTAGGAGAGAGCTAAGGAAATGGCGCCGAGGGCTCTGGAGAGCTGACTCGCCAGTGAAGAGAGAGGTTCGTTAACAGGGAGCCGCCTTCTGGATACTGCAGTGCCGGAGCGATGCTACCAATGGGAGGGGACTCGGAGGAGAGGCGCAGGAGTGGTTACGGGGCTGGAGAGATTAGCTGACGAGAACAGATTAACCAACCACCTCTGCACAGCTTGGTGAGCTGACAGACTTCGATTCATGTCTGCGAGTACTGGGACTGTTCCCCCAATGAGGGAATTCAATGGGCAAAGTGAGGAGTAATGGGGACCACAACGAAGCAAAGCAAACGTCTGTTCTTAGGATCTGAACGTTTTCCAAGGGTGCGGGCTATTAGCCAGCGGCACAATCCGCACGGAAGGAACTGTCACTCGAGCCACTGAGCGTGGCCTCCCCAAAGCACCTGAGCACAGACGAGAATAACTCCATCTCCAGTCCCGGGACTCCACCCCGCAAGAGGGGCTGTGGGTCCCAGCCCAGGTTCGGTCATGAGCAGAGCTGCTGCACACTCTGCCAGCTGCAGCGAGTGAGGGGGTTATTCCACTCAGGGGCCGGCAGAGACAGAAAGGCAGCTGCTGGCACAAAACAGCCAGAATAAAATGGTTTGGGGGGGACCTGCTCAAAGTTTTGAGCTCGCAGCACAGCCAGAGGAGTGGGGGCTGCTCCCCCAAGACAGTCCCTTTAACACTGGCTGTACCAGATGCCAGCAACAGCATCCCCCTGGCCTGCACTGGGAAAGCCGTTTCCACTTCCCTCTTAGGTCTCCCAGCCCCACCGCAGCTTCCTGCGGCAGCAGTTCCTGGCCTCCTCTCCATCTCTCTGCCTCGCTTTGCTACATTCTTCCTGTTCTCCTCCCTTGTTCCGCCTCTCCTCTGCCCCGGATTCCTTTGTGCTCCGAAACCTGGCTCGCGTACAGCAGACACCGCCAGGTTCTCAAACGATACCATCTCCCGAATCCAGTGGGACGACTGACGCACTAACCTCAGCGTTCTGTCCCAAGCCCAAACCTCCAGCATGGAAACTATGATCTCTTGGGCTGCTCATGTTCTTTGAATGCCAGACAATCGACTCCCAAAGCAGGTCACGTTCTCACAACTGAGCCATGGCCAACAGATGAGGGCGGGCAAAGACAAGCACTTCAAAGACACCCTCAAAGCCAACATAGAGAAGTTCAATATTGCCATGAACTCATGGGATCCCCACACCCTCTACCAATCAAAATGGAAGAGGAACTTGTGGCAAGGATCCCAGTATTTCAAGATCCAACGAAGACAACAGCAAAGGGAGAAAACGGAAAGGAGGGAAGAACGTGCTGTGTCCTGACTCAGCGATCCAGCCCAGCCCCTTCCCTCAGGAAACGTCTGGCCCAACTGTGACAAGATCTGTGGATCCTGGCTCGGTCTCAGCCACCTGTGGACCCACCAGCAATAACAAGCTATCACTTTACGGAGGACAATCATCCTCGAGCTCCAAGGGATCGCTGACTTGACTGGATTCCTTCATGTCATTCCTTTCTGTTGTCCCCTCCCTGCCCAGAGCTGGCTCCCGCTCCCTCTCCCTGGTACTCTGCTCTGCCTCATCTCCCCTCCTGGCCCACAAACGATGTACGTTCCCCCGGAGCAGCTCCAACTGGCTCCTGCTCAGCCATCGCCCCCCGCAGCTGAGCGGGGCTCTCCCGAGAGGGAAGCCAAGTGGCTCATCCCCCTCCACTCTTAGGGGCAGCGGCTGCTTGGTGCCCAGAAGTGCTGAGCACCCACGCTGCCAGCTCCCCATGTGCTTACCAGGGGACGCCTTCCAAAGGCCATTGCCGTGCGCATGCCAATAGACAGAGGAGGGCTGCGCCGGCCATTACCCCACTGCCTTGTCTGGGCAGCTGGGCCCCCTTCCCCTATGGCTAACCCCCATCACAAGCCAGCACTGGCCCTTTAAGAGGAACCAGTGCATCTGTGGCTGGTCAGCTGATGCCCCTGGAGCTTAAAAAAGGGCACTTGGGCCTCCACGGAGACCTGGCGAGGGAGAGCCTCGGTGAATCAGGCTGAGAGCTAGTCAGGGAAGGGGCAGAGAGTGGGGACCTGAGGCTCTCGCTGCCAGTGCCCCGGGGAGCCAGAGCCCTCCTGGGAAAGGGGAGCCCCAGGGAGCCAGAGTCCCCCAGGAACAGGGAGCAAGAGGCCCCTGAGTCCCCTGGGAACAGGGAGCCCAAGGGAGTGAGGGCTGCAAGACCCCCCTGGAATGGGGAGCCCGAGTCCCCCAGAGTGGGGAGCCTCGGGGAGCAAGGGACACCAGAGCCCCCCCAGGCGAGGAGGCAGCAGGAGCCCGGGAACTGAAGGGGGAGCCCCTGGAGCTAAGGAACTGTGGGTTATTGACCTAAATTTGATCAGCAGAACTGCACAAAGAGCCCGTGGGCGCAGCAGTGAGTCCTTAGCGAGCAGGGGAGAAGCCCTGCTGTGTAACACCCCCACGTGCACCTCTCCTGCCAGCCCACCCGAGCAACAGAGGGTGCAGCAGAGAGGCCGACCCCCCATCCTCCAATGAATGAGGAGTAGGGGCTGTCCACACAGCTGACCCCCAGCTTGCTGCTCGGAGCCACCGGCCAGAACGTGATGTAACACAACCATCATTCGTCACGTTCCACAGACGGGACTCGGAATTCGGGCGGGGAACAAACAGCAAGAGCAGATTGCGCCCCCGTAGGAGTTTGTCAGCTTGAACACGCACGCAGGGTGTAGGCGACCATCGCACTGCTACATCCACTATTGTTAAAGGAACATCAAAAGCTGCAGTCCCCCAGGAGAGGACACATCTCCATGTGCTCAGGGTATTTACGTTGCACATGGGACAGCACCTTGTGAGCAGTAAATTCCTCCCTTTCCCTGTCACTGTCCCCTGTTTACCTGGGTCACTGACAGCAGCAGGGATAGAAAACATTTGTTTTTTAAAGTGTGATTGCAAAGCTACAAACACAGGCAGGGAGGGGTCAGAGCAGAGGCTGGGCCTGCTCTAAACGTACTTCACACTCAGTTTCTGAAAGGATTAGCTTTGAAGGTGGCATCTCTCCAGGAAACAAATCCCATTTAAAGGGAAGAGTTCCTAGAAACAACACCTACTGGAGGCAGAATTGCTCCGCACAGTGTCTCTGGGCATTTCCTAGGAGAATCCAGCAGCTCCTGAGAATGCACAATTCTGGCAGAAATTGCAGCAGTTCTGTTTGCAGGCATACCATGCTTCTGATCCATAACCAGACCCATCAGATAGAAATCTCAGAAATATGGGGGGAAGGGTCTCGAGAAGTCTTCAAGTCCAGCCCCCTGTGCTGAGGCAGGACCAAGTAAACTGAGACCATCCCTGACAGGTGTAACCTGTTCTTAAAAACCTCCAGCAACGGGGATTCCCCAACCTCCCTGGGAAGCCTGTCCCAGCACGAAACTATTCCTACTATCCATCCTAAATCCCCCGCACTGCAGATTAAGCCCGTTAGTTCTTGTCCTGCCTTCAGTGGACATGGCTGAAACAATGGATCCCTGTCCTCTTTATAACAGCCCTTAACGTATTTGAAGACTTATCAAGCCCCTCCTTAGTCATCTCCACCCAAGACTGAACATGCCCAGTGATTTAACCTCTTCTCATAGTCAGGTTTTCTAAACCTTTGATCATTTTTGTGGTTCTCCCGCAGACTCTCCTATCTGGCCATCTCTCACCAAGTGGCCGCTGTCCTCCAGCTGAGGCCTCACCAGGGCGGAGTCCATGGGACAATGGCCCCCCGTGTCGGACACAACACTCCTGTTCGGACAGCCCAGAACAACATTAGCCCTTTTCGCAAGGAGAAGTGCTTGCTCCCCACTCCAGCAGCGGGGTCCTGAGATGCCGGCCGGCTCGCGCTGGCTATGAATGGCAGCCTTGTTTCATTACACTTTGTTGCCTTCATTCATTATAAATGAGAATAAAAACCTCACTGTGATGCTCTCTTACCCAGCAGGAGATCAAATTCCTGGAGCATCTAATCTTTTATTAATAATGCTGACAAAATCACCGGAGTATTACCCTGCATTTACGCAATGCTTCTAGCCCTATCAAAGCCTCTGCTGGTGATTTCAAACAGCCACACGCACGCTGCCAAAACGCAGGGAAAGCCTGAGCTGGAGGGGGGCTCTTCCCATGGATGGCAGGCAGTGCTTCTGCTCCTCCATGCCGCTGTCTTAGCCCTCTGCCGGCTGCGCTGGCTGGCCGTGGACCCCCTGGCCAGAGCGGGGTGTCTCTGTGTCACTGACACACTGGGCTTTCTGTCCCCCGCCCCATTTACAGAAGAGTTCAGCGTCCAGCGGAGAGAGTACGCCAGGGTAACAACCCTCTCTGTGGGATCCTCACGCACAAACGCAATGCACATTACCCAGCGCTGCCAGAACGGCCTGGCCAGTTCACACAGCTTCCCTGAAAACCCCCGGGGGGAGGTCCCAGTGCTCCACGCCCAGCTGAGGGGCACAGCACTACGGTAGCTCCGTGGAAGATAAGGATTCACCACAAATCCTGGCTCAAAATTCAACCGGCCCAAACCCGAACCCTTGGAAAAGTCTGAAACAACATAAAGGAAAGGAGGACTCGTGGCACCTCAGAGACTAACCAATTTATTTGAGCAGAAGCTTTCCTGAGCCACAGCTCACTTCATCGGATGCATTCAGTGGAAATAAATTGGTTAGTCTCTGAGGTGCCACGAGTCCTCCTTTTCTTTTTGCGAATACAGACTAACACGGCTGCTCCTCTGAAACCTGAAACAACACAGTGCACCTCTGCACTGGGGCTGGAACCAGAAATCTAAAGACAGCAGTATGAGAAGTGATTCATGGAACTGGGGATTAGGGGGTCGACTTCCGGGGGCTGGTTTTCAAAGGCACAGCTACAAGTTAGGTGCCTAATTGCTCCCTAACCTCCCCCTTCAGAGGGAGCAGCAGACACATGGTCTGCGTAGGTGGGGAGCAGTCCAATCCAGCACTCTCTTCCAACTAGCCCTGGAATATCACGAGAGCTTGTGCTCATGGTGTCTCCAGCCTCGCTCCGTGTGCAAAGAGATTTGAGTCTTCACCAAGCCGTCTTTGGAGCCTGGCCCGAATGTAAATCCCAGCCAGTTATGGCAACTGCACGTTCCCAGCTGCAGGCCCAGCAGAGTGTGTGCCGATGGGGATATGTTTACATAGAGCATGACACTTCTCTCTCCGATTTGGCTACTCACAAGATAAAAAACCCACACACCACCTCAGGGAGGCCACACACACGCTGGTCAAAGGTCACGGCTGGCACGGGGAGACAGGCGCTGTGTTAGAGAGAAGTCCCAGGGATGGTTCCACAAGTGCAGGGGGTAGGGTGGGAAGTCAGAGAAAGCTCAGCAGGCAGCTGGAAGGCGAGGTGTTAGCTACTCATGGTCAGAAGAACAGGAATGCGCACGACTGCTCCAAGAGAGGCTGGCTGCTGCCAAAGGAAGCCCCTTGTCTGTCTCGGCACAGCTCCGCAGAGTCAGCTGCAAGTGGGGCCCTTTCAGCCGGGAACGCCAGGGCCTAATTTATCAGGCACGTCTGTGACGGAACCACCCCCAGCCTCTGTAACCCAGGGGAATTAGCAGCGTGTCCCTGGGGAACTGGGAGGAAATCCCACCGTGCTGTTAGGGCCAAGGGAACGCGCACTCGCATTAAACGGTCGCCCGCGCGTGGCAGGTGCCTCAGCATGGCTGTGCTGCGACACTGGCCATACGCACAGGGCCTGTCCTGTCTTCGGGGCTAGCTTCGGAAGCGCCTGGCCGTTCAGAGCCTGCCCCCCTGTGCTGCACACCCTGCTGGGCCACACCAGCCTCCCTCCCCTCCCAGCAAGCGACACGCCGTGGCCACGGGGAAGCACCATGCCACCGCAGACACCCAGGCATGCTGCTGCCCCGTGCTTCACGCCGAGCACGGACAGTCCGAGGGACTAAGCGAGGGGAGCGGCCCACCGTGCAGCCCCCCAAGATGACCGGCGGGCGCAGCCAGGACAACAGTACCCGCTGCAGGAAGTAGCGCAATAAAGCAGCCCACCAGACGGCACCTACATCTTGGGCTGCTTCCTGGCCTTGCTGGTCGTGGTCAGTTCGGAGAGTTCAGGCAGGGCTTCCATCAAAGGCTGCAGGTCTCCGACCACCGGCGTCGCTTTCCGCTTTGCCTCGGCTTTTTGCTTCTGTCTGGCCAGCTTCACACCTTCTATTTCTGATTCAGAAACAAGACCGTAAAGAGACTGTCAATTTCCAAGCAGCCTAACCACTTCAAGCTCCGTGACACGGCTAAGGAAGGACAAAGATGATTTAGATAATGGCCTGGAGCAGTGGTTCTCAAACTTTTGTACTGGTGACCCCTTTCCCATAGCAAGCCTCTGAGTGCGACTCCCCCTTATAAATTAAAAACACCTTTTTATATATTGAACACCATTCTACATGCTGGATGCAAAGCGGGACTTGGGGTGGAGGCTGACAGCTCGCGCCCCCCATGTAATCCCCTCGCGATCTCCTGAGGGGTCCCGACCCCCAGTTTGAGAACCCGTGGCCTAGAGAGTGCACTTAGTGTGCGGACGATACCAAGCAGGGAGGGGTTGCAAGCACTTTGGAGGACAGGATTAAAATTCAGAATGATCTGGACAAACTGGAGAAATGGTCTGAAATAAATAGGATGAAATTCTATCAGGACAAATGCAAGGTACTCCACTTAGGAAGGAACAATCAGTTGCACACATACGAAATGGGACATGACAGCCTAGGAAGGAGCACTGCGGAAAGGGATCTGGGGGTCATAGTGGACCACAAACTAAAAAGGAGTCAGCAGTGACACACTGTTGTAAGAAAAGCGAACAGCATTCTGGGCTGTATCAGCAGGAGTGTTGTAAGCAAGACACGAGACGTAGTTGTCCCACTGTACCCTGCACTGACTAGGCCTCAAGTGGAGCATTGTGTCCAGTTCTGGGCGCCACGTTACAGGAAGGATGTGGACAAATTGGAGAAAGTCTGGAGAAGAGCAACAAAAATGATGACAGGTCTAGAAAACATGACTTGTGAGGGAAGACTGAAAAAATTGGGTTTGTTTAGTCTGGAGAAAAGAAGACAGAGGGGACATGATAACCTTTTATGTGCTTGAAAACGGTTATTATAAAGACAAGAGTGATAAATTGTTCTCATCTACTGAGAACAAGCCAAGAAGCAGTGGGCTTAAATTGCAGCAAGGATGGTTTAAGTCTAGGTCGCACATTAGGAAAACTTCCTAACTGTCAGGGTGGTTAAGCATTGGAACAAACTGCTGTGGGAGGTTGGCTAGCAAGAGAACTGTATTTCCCTCCTACGCACAGCGAGGGGGGGACCTGCTAAGAGTCGGGAAGAGGAGCACTGAAGACCTGAAAATAAATCAATGTGCTAGAATTACATGGACCCTCCAGTGAGATTGGAGAGAGGAAGGGGAAGGTCCAGGTTTGGCCTCCCATCCTTGACAGGTGTCACTGTAACCATGAACCTTACTGACTTTGGCTTTATTTACAAGGGGAAGGATGGTCTTGTAGCAAGTGTCCTAGGTTGGGACTCAAGACCCAGGTTCAATTCATGGCTCTGGGCCAGTCACCTGGGACTCATCTACACTGTGGACTTCAACTGGTTGGCCAAAACGCAGCATTTGCATGCCAGGCACCCTGAGTGAGTGCAGAGGCTGGGGCCCGCAGGGCAGGCAGCGAGCCCAAGAACACAGGGACTGGTGATGAACTGACAGCATGTGAGCTGTCCCACGGCACTGTTACGCTGCTGGGTGACTCTGCCCTGCCGCTGCAGGGAGATGGGGGAGGGCTCCTGCTGCAGGGCAGGGAAAGAGAGTCATGGGAGCTCCTCTCCTGCCCAGGCCCTGCAAGGCTGTGGGAGCCCAGGGAGAGCAGGCTCTATCTGAGCCCAGTGGATCCAGCTGGGGAGAGGAGGAAAAGAGTGGAGAACCAACTGCCAGTTACAGCTCCCCCATTCTCTGCCCCAGCTGACACTGGTACCCAAAGAACCAAACCCAGGTGGGGACAGCCAGCATACAGTGTGCTCCAGGCACCTCCTGTCCCTGCAGCGTAGGGGGCTGGCTAGCCACTCTCTGGCCCCCTGAGGTCTTCCCCCCACAGCAGGGGACTCCCAAGGAGGCAGCTTCGTAGGAAGTTTCTGCTTCCTTTGCATTTCCTGAGTGATTCTCAGGCTGTGGAACCTGCCCTACAGTATCGACTGTGGCCTTGACCTTCGAGATCGCGCGGCCTGTGTCCAGGCTGAGAGTCAGCCAGTTAGCGCAGGAGCACTGCATGGCCCTGACCATGGTCATTGCCTGATACGTCTACCCCAGGAACCTTGTGAGCCAACCTTTTAATCATTTTCTCGTTTGCTGAACCAGTGAGGTGCTCTACCATCAACAGTCCTGGGTGAGCTGTGATTTCTGCAGTGCACAGAGGTTTGTGAGAAATCTGGATTGTAAACACTGCTCCTTGCAGGCGGCTCTACCAGGGGCCCTGGTTTCTGTTCTGCACCACTTCTTTTTTTGGTCTGGCTTTCTGGAGCGGGGCTACTTCACAGTGCTACCATGCATTACGCGCCTGACGCATCAGAGCAAACAGCCCAAATTCTTCTTCTATGAAATCTTCTTCAGTAAAGGGGCCATGCATGCTTCTAATGGCCAAAGCTTTGCATCAGTTTTTCCTTAGTCTCTTTCTTATGATTTATTTCTCCTTGGAACGGAATATGCGCTGAGAGTTTTGCATTACACTCTTGGGCTGAACTTCACTGCACTCGGTACTGGGATTCGATGCCAAAAAATGCAGGGAGAAAGGGCACCCAAGAAAAACAAGCGAGTTAAAGAAAAATAATTCATTCCAAGATTACAAAAACAAACAAGAAAGAACAAGTAGCAAATTGCTCCCCACCACATGTAAGGGTGTTTTTAAGAGGATAATCCTGGTGGCTTTGTAGGGAACAATGTAATAAACAGCATCTGAGATGAATTAACTGCTCAAGGGAAACCCAGACATTCACTGCAACTCAGGGCCATTTCCTGCGTGCAGCCTGTACCGCACGGCACGGAAATAAATGACTGCTGATCTGTAACCAACCAGAACACGCCAGGCGGAAAAAAGGGCAGTGTCGCTTGTTTTCTTGGATTCCCCCTGGGGCTGTGAGTAAGGACCGAATGGCCGATCAAGGGCTCGTCTCAAGCCTTGGAGTGAAAGAGTGATGGACACACATCAGGTAAAGCCGGTGAAGCAGCGACATACGGGGGCTGTTTGGGTTGGTTTATTTAAACTGTGACTGAATGAAGTTCTGCTCTTCGACAGGAGCTCCGGGAACCACTGACGCACGGGCCCGTTTTCAGCTCCCCTGTAAGCCAATGGGGTGGAAGGATACACTCCAAGTTAAGCAAGTGCTTACCTGCTTTCCTGAATCAAGGCCTCTATTAGTGCTGGGGCTAAAAGAAGGAACCCGGCTATGCAATCAAGAGAGGACGCTGTGGCTTCATGCAGCTAAGCAAGCTACTCAAGCAGAGAGTAATTTCCAGGCAGTGGGATGGACGCGAGAAGCTGCCGACTCTGGGACACAGAAATGAGAGAAGCAGCCAGGGAGGGGTTGAAAAGTTCCTGTGAGGAAGCCTCCCAATGTGCTTGAAGCAAGAGATGATCACGTCCAAGCAGGACCTTTGCATCACTACTTCTAAGAGCCTGGCAGTGCGATAGCTCCCCAAATACTGGCCCAAGGGGTCCTGGCCCTCCGCTTGGCTCGGCTACTCCTGGGAGCAAATCCCTCAGGCACGCCGCAGACTTGGCTTAACTCACAAACCTCGTGTGAACCTGCCACCATGTAAAGAGTTTGGGGAATTAAAAGCAAAGCTTTAGATTCTGAAACAGCAGCAGGGTTTAGTCCTCAGTAGCAGTCACAATAAACAGCATGGAACCAGCACTGGATCAGGTTCTATTCCTAGCTCTGCCACTGAGCTTAGACAAGCCTCTGTCCTGCTCTGTGCCTCAGTTTCCTCACCTGTAAAATGGAGCTAATTATGTAACTATCTCCATGGCAAGGTGCTTTGAGATCCATGGATGAAAGTGCTATTCAAAAGCAAAGCATTGGCCTCCACATTGCTGATCCCCAGCATTCAAATATCATGAGGTAACTCCCAAAATCAGGAGACTGGCCTAAAAATCCTGATTTTAAAATAATAAAGGTGTGTGTCCTGGGTGTGGAGCTTTGGGGGGTGGGGTGGGGTGGGGCGGATATCACATTTTCAAGCCTCTCTCCACAATCACAGGGAAGAGAAACTTAAAACCACAAGTGAAGCTGAGACTCCCCAGGATACAATCACTTTTTACTTATTAATTAACCCAGAGTAAGTATTAATACTGGGGGGAGGGGGGCAAACAGCTGTGCATATCTCTCTATCAGTGTTATAGAGGGCGAACAATTTATGAGTTTACTCTGTATAAGCTTTATACAGGGTAAAATGGATTTATTTGGGGTTTGGACCCCATTGGGAGTTGGGTATCTGAGTGCTGGAGACAGGAGCACTTCTAAAGCTGTTTTCAGTTAAGCCTGCAGCTTGTGGGGGACGTGGTTCAGACTTGGATCTGTGTTTGCAGCAGGCAAGCGTGTCTGGCTCAAACAAGGCAGGGCACTGAAGTCCCAAGCTGGCAGGGAAAACAGGCTCAGAGGCAGTCCAGGCACATCAGGTGGCAGTCCCAAAGGGGTCTGTGTGACCCAACTCATCACAGGGGTGTTGACCATTGTAGCAGTGATGTCTGCAGATTTGACATCTTTTGTTCTGGCAGGGTCTGGTGTCTCTTTGAGTTGTGTGTCTTGGTCTGTGGGGAGCTTGCTTCTAATGATGAGCTTGGCGAGGCGGGGGGGGGCTGTTTAACGGCCAGAAGAGGGGGTTCAGGAAAGATTTCTTTCAGGATGGGGTCCCCATCAAGTATGGGTTGTAGTTGTTTGATGATACCCCGAAAGAACCTGCCTCAATACAGGAAAAACAACCACCCATTGACTGCATACCCCTAGTTATCACCTGTCACCCCACACTGGAACCCATATGGGGTGACAGGTGATAACTAGGGGTATGCAGTCAATGGGTTGCTGTTTTTCCTGTACTGAGGCAGGTTCTCTCGGGGTATGTGGGTGGCCCATTCCATGATATGATCTACTTCACTGATGTGAGGGTCTTGTTTGGTGAAGGCAGCTTTAAGCATGTTAAAGGTGTTTATCCTGGACTTTCTCTTTGGAGCATATTCTGTGTGCCTGTGTGTTTGGGGTGGTTATTGGATCCGTGAAGGTCCATGTGATGATCTGTGAGATTCCTGCATATAGCTGACAGTAGGATTCCGTGGCTGAAGTTGATCATGGTTTCTGGAAAGCTGATACTGGTGTAGGACTGCTCTAGAAAGAGCTGGAGGGAAGGATGGTGGGTTTAAAGTTGTGGAGGAAATCTATAAGGGAGTTTAAATCGTCTGTCCAGAGGATGAAAGTATCATTGAGGTATCTCTGGTATTCAGTGGTTTTGTGGTTTGTTCTTCAAGACATTCTTCCTCAAGGTGGCCCATGAAGATGTTGGCATATTGGGGAGCCATCCTAGTACCCAGGGCTGTTCCCACGGTTTGTTGTTGAATGTATCATTGTTCTGGGTGAGGATGAAATGGATGAGTTTGGCAAGGTGTCTGGGGTGGAGATCTGAGCATTGTCCATTGTCTTGTAGATGTCTGAAGCAGGCTGCAACCCCACACGATGAGGGATGTTGGTGTATAGGGAGGTGGCATCCATGGTGCCAAGGGTGGTGTTCTGAGGGAGGTTGTTAATGTTGCGGAGTTTCTAGAGGAAGTCGATTGTGTCCTGGAGGCAACCGGCCCTTTGTGTGGTGAGTGGTTTGAGGAGAAGGAGCAAATTATTAGGGCCTGCCTACACTTAACATGCTACGGCAGTGCAGCTGCAGCCTTTCAGTGGAGACACTAGCTATGCCAACGGGAGAAACCCTTAACTACGCCGCTCAGGGGGGTGGATTTTTAGTTATGCCGACTTAATCTTAGTGTAGACCAAGCTGTAGTCTCTTATCATCGATTGAGCATTTTGCGAGATCTCCAGGTAGAGTCACAGTCAATTTCCTATTTTTGGGTTAATTCCATTTTCTCATCCAGCACTTTTAAAACATTATATTAGGATTATTATTTTTAAAACTCCCTATATTTTAATATGAGTTTTTCTGCTTCTCTGCTGATGTTTACAATGGGTCTTTTCAGCTGGTGAGACTCTCTCTTGTTAAAAGACATCACGCAAGGCATGAACTGTTGCTGACTTCAGTTCTAGTGATCTTAGAGGATTCTTGTAGCATTAACAGGTGTTTAGTTTTCAGGCACATGTGATTTGCAGGCTGGCATTGTCCCTTTAAAAGCTTGGTGGGCCAGGAGGGAAGCCTGGGGCTTTGGCGACTTTAAGGTTGTTTAAGAGTTTCCCTTCGCAAGGGCCCTTTTCTGTTGTTTAGAACTTCTTCATAAAACATTTACCTTTGGGGTTAAAGGTCCCTACTTCTGGTTTCCACCCCCCAGGGAAGTTTTCTGGGAAGTCTGAGTAGAAACAGCTTAGTTTCTGAGTAAGAAGACAGAAAATGACACATTCGTGGCTCCATTACAGGCTTGCTGTGTGACGTTGGGAAGGACCATACCATAGACACACAAAGGGGCCAAATTAAGTTTGCATAGTCAGCTTTAATTCTGGCATTTCTGCACTTTTGAGTGCTTGACTTTCCTACCTCAAACCCTGGGGAGTGCTGCTCACACAAGGCAGAGAGAGTTTTCCCTTTGCTTTTAGCAGCAGAGGGGGCACCGTGATTTTCTTTTATCCCCTTTTTCATACAACACATAATGAAACTATGGAACTCACTGACACAGGACGTCAGTGAGGCCAAAAATTCTGCAAGGTTAAAAGAAATTGAACATTTATATGGAAAAACACGAATATCCAGGTTTCTAATTAATTCTGACAAATTTTGGAAGGGATTTAAAATCTCATGCTCGAGGCTTTAAGCCTCTCTCAGACTAGCAGAGATTTGGACGAAACCTGCATGAGGATCATCTGCCTGTTGTGGTGTTTATTGCACCTTCCCCTGAAGGCTCTGGTGTTGGCCACTCTCAGAAGCCAGAGACTGGGCTAGCTGGACCCTGGGCCTGATCCAGCCTGGCAATTCCAAGTCCCATGACTGTGTCAGATGCTACAGAGAAGGTGAGCTGTCTGAGCATGGAGACTGCAGTGAGGATGTTAGGGCTACTGGGGATGTCTCTGGGTTTCGCCCCAATAAGAACCGGATTCAAGGCACCCAGGATGCTGGCAGAGGTCCCACATTGCTGGAGCTTGGCGGTTGTTACTTTGTTCCCTTTGTACCCGCAGGACCAGGTGGATTTCGTGTACCATGGAAACCAGCCCACTCCGTAGATCTCGCCTTCCCCCAGGACCCGGAGCGTTACCACATGCACCAGGGAAGTCATGGGCTGTCTCAGTCGAGCTTACAGAGAGCGTCTGGGACGTGCAAAGGCAGAGATAGCCATGGGCCACCTGCATGGAATCTACCATCAATTGCTGGGGGGGCAAAGAGGGGAGGAACCGTGCGTGTGCCTGACCCAAGAGTGACTCCTTGGTTGTTCATAGGAACCCCCCCACCACAAAACCAGGGATCCTGGGAGCAGGGGCTGCATGTAAAGTCCCCTCTGCCAGTAACCCCAACAGCCAGCCAGCCAGCCGACAAACCCCCCTGAGAGTTCCGGGGGGCGCAGGGAAAGCAAGACAAACACCTTGTTGCTTATCTGGAAAGAATCGACGCTGCCAAAATCCCATCCAGCTAAACAACAAAAAGAGCTTAAACGTGGAAAAACCCTGCAGAGGCTTCACTGACCAGAGCAAGCCATTGCCCTTGCTGAGCCAGGAAGGGCTGCAGCCTATGTCCCCTGGGGCTGACGTCACCCATTCACAGGCACTTCCTGGTCCCGTTGCTGGGATGAGGTCACACTGCCCAGCGTCTGGACGACTCAGGTCATGCAGGAGAATGATGCAGATCTCCCCCAGCTAGGGCTAAGGTGAAGCCTATTAGAGCAGGGGTAGGCAAACTTTTTTGGCCCGAGGGTATGAAAATTGTATGGCAGGCCATAAATGCTCACAAAATTGGGGTTGGGGCACAGGAGGGGGTGCGGGCTCTGGGGTGGGGCCAGAAATGAGTTCAGGGTGCGGGACGGGGCTCTGGGCTGGGGGAGGGGGTTGGGATGCAGGGGTGGGAGTGAGGGCTCCGGCTGGAGGTGCAGGCTCTGGGGTGGGGCTGGGGATGAGGGATTTGGGGTGTAGGAGGGTGCTCCAGGTTGGGACTGAGGGGTTCGGAGGGCAGGAGGGGAATCAGAGCTGGGGCAGTGGGTTGGGGCATGGGGGGTGAGGGCTCTGGCTGGGGGTGCGGGCTCTGGGGTGGGGCTGGGGATGAGGGGTTTAGGGTGCAGGAGGTTGCTCTGGGATCAAGGGGTTCAAAGGGTGGGAAAGGGATCAGGGCTGGGGTTGGGGCATGGAAGGGGCTCCGTGTGGTGCAGGCTCCGGGCGGTGCTTACCTCAAGCAGCCCCCGGAAGCAATATGTACCCCTCTGGCTCCTACGCAGAGGTGCGGCCAGGCGCCTCTGCGCGCTGCCCTGCCTCCAGGCGCTGTCCCTGCAGCTCCCATTCCAATGGGAACTGCAGGGGTGGCGCTTGGGGTAGGGGCAGAGCATGGAGCCCCCTGGCTGCCCCTAAACGTAGGAGCCGGAGGGGGCACATGCCGCTGATTCCGGGAGCTGCGCGGTGTGGTGTGGTGGCATGTGCACGCAGCGTGGCCCCCAACCCCACTCCCCAGCGGGAGCTCAAGGGCTGGATTAAACTGGCTGGCGGTGTGGCCCGTGGGCCGTAGCTTGCCCACCCCTGTCTTAGAGTGTACAGCCGCGTGCCAAGGAGAGCAGTGTTCCTACTAGAACACTGCAGCCTGGCGTTTAAAGTGCTGTGGCATGACAGGCCAAACGCAGCAAAAAGTAGAGCTGCCAGCAAGGGACCTCATGCCTCTGAGCTTCTAGGAGAGACCCGCAGCAAACCTAACTCCTCCCAGGGTTCTCCAGGGCTGGGGAAAACCAGAGGTTTTGTAGTCCCATATTTTCCACGTACGCCATGTAGGACTCTCGGGAAGACAGCATTTCCCAGCACTCACTGCTCTTCGGGACAGGGAGAGCATAGCTGGGAATTATCTCCAGCCAGCCTTGTCCCCGAACTGGGAGAGAGGAGGGGGCTTCCCACCCACGCTGTGATGGAGCTCCAGCCTCCCGCCCTCAGAGCGGAATCAGCAGTCAGGGTTTTCCCCAAGCCACACAGCGCCTCCCTGAGTCCGCTTCCTCTCCCTCAGCGACTGCACCTGCCTGGCCCCCGGGGTCATTCTTGGGCTCACGCGGTTTCACTTTCTAAACCTCAAAGGGCCAGTACAGTCTGCTACACGTGGCACGTACGTTGTTTAGGAAGCAGTGCAATGCAGGGCTTCTACTGGCCCTCTGATGAGGCCACCACCCCGACAGCGTGATCTTATCGAGGGAATACTTACTCTGCAGCCACCTGTCTTTTCTCAGCTTCAGTTTTTCTCTTTTTGACAGAAGTGGTTTTTCTTCTACACCTGAAAAATAAAAACACACGGCAGGCAGTCTGAGTGGTGCTTCCCTGCGCGGCTTTGCCAGCTCGCCCCCCGGGAGGTGGCATCCATGGTGCCAAGGGTGTACTCAAACGTAACAGGCCAGACAATCTGCAATAAGAGTTCTGCTCATCCTTTGCCATGTGTGTAATTAAGGAAGCTGGAGAGGCTGGGTGCTGGTGGGTGGCAATACAGCATCCTGTGAAACCATCATTCAAAAATTCATTACAATTGGTTTGAATGGACCTGACTGAAGGAGAGAGTATCAATGAGGGTCACAGTTTCAAAAAAGCATAGGGCCATATTTTCTAGTGCTGAGCACCCACCATCTGGGGTTCTCAGGAGCGCAGCACACTGGTAGCGATGACAATCCAGCCCTTCTTCGGGGCCCACCTGGGAAGAGAACTCTGGAGAACCCTTGACCCAATTGTGTGTGCTGAGCACTTTGCCTGCCGCCGGCCGGTACCAATGGGTGCAGCGGTGTCGAGTAGGATTGCCACCAGGGTCCGGCTTAGGCCCGGCTTTACTTTGCATTTGCACTCGTGGTCTAGAAAAGCATGTGAACAGAGGGTTACTAATTGGGAGGGGTCACAAAGACCAGTAAGGACAGATTGCAAGGGACCTAGAACCTTAGTTTCAGAACTGGAAATATACAAACTGATAGGCGGGGGAAAGCCAATGGGGGCGACACACAGCCAAAGGGCAGAGACACTGACGAAGCAGCAGCGCTGAAGAGACCTTCAGGGATGTGAACAGCAAACCACAAACGAGCCTCTAGTAAGATGCAGCAGCAAGAGGGACTGTGCAGACAGAGGCACCTGAGACTGCACCTAGTTAGTGTCGCCTTCAAACCCCAGGAAGAGCTCAACAAGTTATTCAGAGACGTGATGACCAGGCTACAAGGACTCACTCATAAGGAAACGCTGCAGACTCAGACTTAGCTTGGCTAAATGGGGAAGCATGAAAACGATGTGTAAGCATTTGAAGAGCATAAACAAGAAGGGAGGAGAGGAAAGGTCTAGGACTGCCAGAAGGGTATAATGAACAGCAATGGGATTCATTCAGAGGGGAAACTGAGGCTGGCAAGCAAGAAGACTTCCTTAAAGCAAAGTCTACTACTGCTGAGGCATTAAAGTCTCCAAGGGAAGGGTGGAAGCCCTATTTCCTGAGACATCCAATCCTAGACTGGACTAAGCGCTCAGTAGTGTACTATAGGGAACAAACATGAGCTAGGGAGGGGGGGCAGCACATTACAAACACAGGTTTATCCACTGCTCAGAGTTATGACACACATTAGGTAGCATGGCAAAAAATGAATTTGCAAGATGACTTGAGAGGGCCAGAAGTGTAATAATCCCCTAGAAACACACTCCCTGCTTGTGCTGGCCGGACACTACCAAAAGGATCTATCGATACATTTAGACTGAGAAGGCAGCATGGCCCGCTGGCTGTGCCACTGGACTGGGAGTCCGGAGACCTTGTTCGATTCCCATCTCTATCATGGACCTGCTGCGTGACCTTGGACCAGTTGCTTACCTCTGAGTGCCTGTTTCCCTCCCCCCAGCCTTGTCTGTCTTCTCCGGTTACACTGCGAGCTCTTTGGGAAAGGGGCTGCCTCTCACTCGGAGTCTAGGGCAATAGGATCTTGGTGGCGGCACCGAGGCACTAATTAAGAACAATAATCTGTGTGCCGAAGAGTGAGGCCAACAGCCAGTCATCCAGCTGAAAATGAAAGTCTGCATTTTGAAGTCTAGTACTGCAGAAAACAAAACCATCTCAAGTGCTGTCTATTACAAGGACTGGAGAATTTTACCTTATGGTAAGAAAGGAAAACCTGACTGCAATCAATTTCCCACAAAACCAGCTACCATGCAGGTCTGTCCCAGGATGGAACTTAGCCCTGGGAATGTTGACGGAGGAAGAACTTGGCGTGCTGATGAGTTATTTGCTTTGGAAGTGTTTGCTGCCTCTCCCATGTAGAGGAACTATTCTTAAACGTGGAACAAATATATAACAGGAGATTTACAACCTCCCTCTTTCCCCAAAGATGGATCAAAGCAACAGGATTTCACAGAAACGTAGTAGGGTTCTGTCAACAATCCTCTGAAAGCCGATACAATTCACCAGAAGACAGTGTTGCTGCGGTTTTGTTTAAACCATCCTGTCGAATTCTAAGGCAGGGATATAATTTTAAATGAAATGTTATAATGTAATGTACAGAATGTAACGATACCTTTTTCTATCAAGGCTTTCCAACAGGGGCTAGACTTTAAAAATAAAACCAGGCTTCTATAGAAAGAGGAAATAACTGTTTTCGTATTTCAGACTTTGACAACTTAAATCAGGCTTCAATTAGATCAGTTTTTTGTTTCCAAATTCCATTTTCCTGTGGCTAAAACACAAACCAAAACCCCCCGTTGCATTCACTGCAGTAACCGAAGGCTGAGAAATAAAGCCCTCTCTGGACACTGCCGTGTGTTCACTGTGGTTAGGATCATACGGTGGTATTTGTCATGGCTGAAGAAGTTAACATCAGTGTCTTTGTCTCTTGACTAAAACACCCGATAAAGCTGTGACATTCCCCTGGGTACAATCTGGACTGCTGAACAGCTGTGTTCCCTCCATTCTCCAGCCTGGGGTGCCTTTTACACTCCTCCGCTGCGAGAACAACCACTCCTGGCCCGCTCCCACACAGCCTCCAGCAAGTAAATCATTCCCAGCTGAGTTATCTATGCATGTTCTAGCTAGCCACTCCTTACATTGCAAAGTAACACCAGCAACTTCCCAGTCCCAGACTGGTCCCCAGAAATGCGTGTATTGTACTGCCCAACTCTTTCCTTCCTGACGACCCTGAAAGTCCATCATTTCATTAATAGAAAATGATATGCACAAACCCCGTTATCTCAAATGAAGTTTCCCAAACACTTCAGTACAAACACATACTGGCTTAGATAAAACAATAAAAGAAGTTTAACTACAGAAAGTTAGATTTTAAGGGATTACAAGTAATGAGGCACAAAAGTCAGAATTGGTTACAAAGAAATAAAAAAGGTAAAATGCAAACTAATACCTTACTTAACGAGTTAACTGAATTCAAAGCAAAAAGGTTTCTCTCATCACATGCTTACAGCAGTCTGGCTGGATTCCTTCAGCCAGAACCCTTCCCCCAGTTCAATGACGCTTTCTTTGTCTTTCAAGTGTTGTTGATACCATGAGTAGAAATGAGGGGAGAGAGGTAATCTGAGGAGTTTGCTCTCCTTTCTTACAGCATTTCTCTTCTTTAAGAATCATCTCCTGCTGGGGTTCAGGTGACAGCAAGCCTGTGGGATGGGAACCTCCAGCTGTTTCTTTGCCAACATGTTAATTTCTCGCTCACACCCTTTTTCCTGACAAAGAATGGCCGCTTAACCAGGTGATACTCCATTTGATTATTCTGACACGTGGCCGAGGTGCTGGCTTGCCTTTTGTCTCTGGGGAACTGGTTTAAAGCTGTTTCCCTAGACTTGGAACATGACTTCTACAGTAAAATTTTATAACTTTACATACAAAGTTGCCGCACATATTTTACCAAGACAACAATGTTCAGCAGATTATGAGTTTTCAAATGATACCTCACATAGCGTACTTTGTACAAAATTTATCACAGTCTTGTAAAAAGGATGAACATAAGGGTACAGACAGTCAAAAAGCGCACTGTGTTCATTTCTGGGTACACATTTAGCCCCTGGACATCTACACACTAAAGTTCAGCATGTGACTAAAGCACATGAATAGCCCCATCGGCTTTTGTGGGGCTGCCTACGTGCATAAAGCCAAGCATGTGAATATTCCTACAGGATTGAGGCCTTGATCTGTGGTTTCACCTACTTATGCTCCCACTGACTGATTTCCAGACACTGCTTCCTTGCACTAAATACTTGGGACTGCAGCACTAGGGAAGCAAGAGTGAATCACTAGCACAGGATGGCATGTGAATAATAAAACATATCCCAACAATTGCTGAACAACTGCCCAGACTTGACAAACATGTACTTAACATTCATTGCTGGCTAATACTGACTGAATGGTTCTGTATTCCAGCGGTGGTTTTTTCCTGTCTGAAAACACGTTCATTACTTCACTGGATAACAGTGCCTGGTATGATCTGCTAATGAGAAAGACCACAACCAGCTGGCTAGCTCTAGTAATAACAGTAATTCAGATATGGATTGATTTTTGCCAAACTGAAGCAGAATATTTAAGGAAATGCAAAAGCTGCCTGCTTGGCACAACCTTGAACCAGGCAGAATTATAGGGCTCCCTGCACAAAGTCCCAACAGGAAATTACTCACAGACTGGGGAGAGAATAATCCAATGGGCAGAGAGCAAAGTCTCTCTAAAGTGCTGAGGCTTTTTATCCTGAAATGTAAATACCTTAATTAGACAGAAACACAAGGAAGCCCACTGTATTAGCTAAACCACCACAGCCAGGTCACACAGCAGGGAGGGGTCCAGCCGCAATGGTAACTCCATCCCACTACACGCTCTGTATGCAGTTTGTGATTAGCAGGAATTTAAACTGCAGGACCCCCGCCTGAAGCTGGACCCTTGAGCCCACATGGAGCCAGTAATGTCCACAGGAGAAATTGTCTGTTTATGCTGAACTGAAGGCAGGACAGGGACCCGGGAAGCCATCCTCTGAGCCATGCACGCACTTTGTGCCTGCCGTGAATTGGTGTGGGCGGGGCTCCTCTGAGCAGGGCGCGCACGTGTGTGTGTCTCACACATGCTGAGCCCGGTCAGTGTTAATACTCCCTGAACCTACGTTGTATTCGAAGAGCGATCAGGTGTCAACGTCTCACAGATCCAGACACAAGCCAGGAACTGCCAGTGTTAAAGGCTGCATGGGCAGGTACAAACAATTAAAATATAATAAAATACAACATTTTTCTGTCACTTTATCTGGCCACGTGTAGCGTCTTCTACTCCTGCGTGCTGCCCTGTGC